CTTGGAAACGGATTCCAAAGAAAGACTGCTGACGGAAATCCGTGAAGAGGAGTAGTAGGAGAAGGAGCATCTGAACGAGCGGAATATGCCAACAAGCGACAACAGGGGCCCATGACAGATTACGGGCCTGGCAGCAGCATGAGGAGTCGGTACGGGGGCCCATGGCAGATTAGGGGGCCTGGGCAGCAGCAATGGGAGGCCCGTAATCTGCCAGCACCCTATGACAAAAAATGGAACACACCAGCAGTGTGAGGAGACCTGAAAGTGGCACATGGCAGAGTGTGGCGATGGAGACAGCAGCAATGGGAGGCCGTACTGGGACCCATGAGAGACTCTGGACCTGGCAGCAGCATGAGAGGCGGTACAGGGGCCCATGGAAGATTAGGGGCCTGGCAGCAGCTATGGGAGGCCCGTAATCTGCCAGCACCCTATGTCAAAAAATTGAACACACCAGCAGTGTGAGGAGACCTGAAAGTGGCACATGGCAGAGTGTTGGTGATGGAGACAGCAGCAATGGGAGGCCCTACAGGGACCCATGAGAGACTCTGGACCTGGCAGCAGCATGAGGAGGCGGTTACGTTAAAGGGGCCCATGGGCAGATTAGGGGCCTGGCAGCAGCAATGGGAGGCCCGTAATCTGCCAGCACCCTATGACACAAAAATGGAACACACCAGCAGTGTGAGGAGACCTGAAAGTGGCACATGGCATGAGACACTGTGGACCTGGCAGCAGCATGAGGAGGCGGTACAGGGGCCCATGGCAGAGATTAGGGGCCTGGCAGCAGCTATGGGAGGCCCGTAATCTGCCATGGCACCCTATGACAAAAAATGGAACACACCAGCAGTGTGTGAGGAGACCTGAAAGTGGCACATGGCAGAGTGTGGCGATGGAGACAGCAGCAATGGGAGGCCGTACAGGACCCATGAGAGACTCTGGACCTGGCAGCAGCATGAGGAGGCGGTACAGGGGCCCATGGCAGATTAGGGGCCTGGCAGCAGCTATGGGAGGTCCGTAATCTGCCAGCACCCTATGACACAAAAATTGAACACACCAGCAGTGTGAGGAGACCTGAAAGTGGCACATGGCATGAGACACTGTTGGACCTGGCAGCAGCATGGAGAGGCGGGTACAGGGGCCCATGGCAGATTAGGGGCCTGGCAGCAGCTATGGGAGGCCCGTAATCTGCCAGCACCCTATGCCACAAAAAATTGAACACCAGCAGCAGTGTGTGAGGAGACCTGAAAGTGGCACATGGGCAGAGTGTGGCGATGGAGACAGCAGCAATGGGAGGCCGTACAGGGACCCATGAGAGACTCTGGACCTGGCAGCAGCATGAGGAGGGCGGTATAGGGGCCCATGGCAGATTAGGGGCCTGGCAGCAGCTATGGGAGGCCCGTAATCTGCCAGCACCCTATGACAAAAAATTGAACACACCAGCAGTGGTGAGGAGACCTGAAAGTGGCACATGGCGGTGTGGCGATGGAGACAGCAGCAATGGGAGGCCGTACAGGGACCCATGAGAGACTCTGGACCTGGCAGCAGCAGCATGAGGAGGCGGTATAGGGGCCCATGGCAGATTAGGGGCCTGGCAGCAGCTATGGGAGGCCCGTAATCTGCCAGCACCCTATGACAAAAAATGGACCACACCAGCAGTGTGAGGAGACCTGAAAGTGGCACATGGCAGAGTGTGGCGATGGAGACAGCAGCAATGGGAGGCCCGTACAGGGACCCATGAGAGACTCTGGACCTGGCAGCAGCATGAGGAGGCGGTATAGGGGCCCATGGCAGATTAGGGGCCTGGCAGCAGCTATAGGGAGGCCGTAATCTGCCAGCACCCTATGACAAAAATGGAACACACCAGCAGTGTGAGGAGACCTGAAAGTGGGCACTGGCAGAGTGTGGCGATGAGAGCACTACAGGGTGAGAGACTGTGGACTGGCAGCAGCATGAGGAGGCGGTACAGGGGCCATGGCAGATTAGGGGCCTGGCAGAGCTATGGGAGGCCCGTAATCTGCCAGCACCCTACTGACCAAAAATATGAACACACCAGCAGTGTGAGGAGACCTGAAAGTGGCACATGGCATGAGACACTGTGGACCTGGCAGCAGCATGAGGAGGCGGTACAGGGGGCCATGGCAGATTTAGGGGGCCTGGCAGCAGCTATGGGAGGCCCGTAATCTGCCAGCACCCTATGTCAAAAAATGGAACACACCAGCAGTGTGAGGAGACCTGAAAGTGGCCACATGGCAGAGTGTGGCGATGGAGACAGCAGCAATGGGAGGCCGTACAGGGACCCATGAGAGACTCTGGACCTGGGCAGCAGCATGAGGAGGCGGTTACAGGGGCCCATGGCAGATTTAGGGGCCTGGCAGCAGCAATGGGAGGCCCGTAATTGCCAGCACCCTATGACAAAAATGGAACACACCAGCAGTGTGAGGAGACCTGAAAGTGGCACATGTTTGGCGGAGGATTAGGCGGGTGTTGTGTCAGGACCCCATGGTGACTTTGGAATCAGCAGATAATCCACGCTGATTCATTTTCACAAACGTGAGTCTCTCAGCATGCTTTGGGTGGACAGTCGTCTCCCCGCGGAGTGACAATACCTCCTGCAGCACTAAACACGGCTCGATGCTGCATGGCAGAGGCATGACAGCCTTTCAAGGGCAGCAATTCAGGCTTAGGGGGGCCCCATGAGGGACAAGTGGACGTTGGCAGCAGTAGTCAAGGGGGCGTTGTACAGTGGCCCATGAGAGGTTGGCCAGGGTGATGTCAAGTAGGCCAAAGCCTGATTTGGTTTGAGGTCAGCCAATGGGTTTCCCCTGATCTGCACAGCTGCTATGAGCAAAATGGTTGAGTAGTTTCACCAGCAGTGTGCTGGGACCTGAAGTGGCACATGGCTACTCTTCATGTGGACTGCAGACTGAGGCAGCAGCAAATGGGAGGCTGATACAGGGCTCCATGAGCACCCCACCCCTCCCTGCTGCCATGGAGCGGAACGCTGAGCGCACAGGGCCCAGCAGTGTCTGAGGATGGACGTTGGCGCAGAAAGGCAGAGACAGCTGACTAATAGGTGGTTTTTATTAGTACGTTATTTTTGGACCCTCTCAGCAGGTGTGCAAAATGGCCACCCATTTGTTGCAGCATGAGCGAGCGGTCAACAGGGACCCATGCCAAATTCACGGGCCTGGGAAGCTGTCTGATGGTTATTATTCGGGCTAGTCTCTACGCAAGCAAGCGAGCATGCTAGTGCCATGAGGGCCATTTGTGCCCAATGGGAATGCGAGGGAAACTCACACTGGCAGTGTGGATCTCCACAGCATGGCAGAGTTTGTGGGAGGACAGCAGCGTCTGGGTCCTGGACCCCATGAGGACTCCTCCTCCTCCTGGCAGCTGCATGAGGAGGGCGGTACCTGGCGCATGAGCAGAAAACCACCCATTTCACTCAATAATTCTGAGCACCAATGTCTGCTCTACCCTCCTCCTGACTTCTTCCTGTCCTGCCCCTACACAGCAGTGTGTGGGAGACTGAGATCTGTGCGCACATGGCAGACCTGTGGCGATGGAGACAGCAGCAATGGGAGGCCGTACAGGGACACCATGACGACGTTCACCATGGCAGCAGCACTGAGAAGGCGTGGTATCGGGGCTCATGGCAGAGCAATGGCCAGGTGTCACGCGCAATGGCTGCCGTAAGGCTGACATCACCCTATGACAGGGAGTGACCACCGCTTTTAACATCAGGAGACCTGTGATGGCTACATCGCATGAGTGTAAAGGCGGTCTAACATATTGTAGGGGGTGAAGATAAACGGGCCCTTGTTGCAAGTCAGCAGCATGAGGAGGTCGGTACGGGGGCCCATGGCAGATTACGGGCCTGGCAGCAGCAATGGGAGGCCCATAATCTGCTCCCAGCACCCTATGACAAAAAATGGAACACACCAGCAGTGTGTGAGGAGACCTGAAAAGTGGCACATGGCAGAGTGGTGGCGATGGAGACAGCAGCAATATGGGAGGCCGTACAGGGACCCATGAGAGACTCTGGACTGGCTTGGCAGCAGCATGAGGAGGCGGTAGTCGGTAGGGGCCCATGGCAGATTAGGGGCCTGGCAGCAGCTATGGGAGGCCCGTAATCTGCCAGCACCCTATGACAAAAATGGAACACACCAGCAGTGTGTGTGAGGAGACCTGAAAGTGGTGGCAGAGTGTGGCGATGGAGGACAGCAGCATGGGAGGCCGTTACAGGGGACCCATGAGAGACTCTGTGGACTTGGCAGCAGCATGAGGAGGCGGGTATAGGGGCCCATGGCAGATTAGGGGCTGGCAGCAGCTATAGGAGGCCCGTAATCTGCAGCCCCTATGACAAAAATGGAACACACCAGCAGTGTGTGAGGAGACCTGAAAGTGGCAACATGGCAGAGTGTGGCGATGGAGACAGCAGCAATGGGAGGCCGTACAGGGGACCCATGAGAGACTCTGGACTTGGCAGCAGCATGAGGAGGCGGTATAGGGGCCCATGGCAGATTAGGGGCCTGGCAGCAGCTATGGGAGGCCCGTAATCTGCCAGCACCCTATGACAAAAAAATGGAACACACCAGCAGTGTGAGGAGACATGAAAGTGGCACATGGCAGAGTGTGGCGATGGAGACAGCAGCAATGGGAGGCCGTACAGGGACCCATGAGACACTCTGGACCTGCAGCAGCATGAGGAGGCGGGTTATAGGGGCCCATGGCAGATTAGGGGCCTGGCAGCAGCTAATGGGAGGCCCGTAATCTGCCAGCACCCTATGTCAAAAAATTGAACACACCAGCAGTGTGTGAGGAGACCTGAAAGTGGCACATGGCAGAGTGTGGCGATGGAGACAGCAGCAATGGGAGGCCGTTACAGGGACCCATGAGAGACTCTGGACTTGGCAGCAGCATGAGGAGGCGGTGTAGGGGCCCATGGCAGATTAGGGGGCCTGGCAGCAGCTATGGGAGGCCGTAATCTGCCAGCACCCTATGTCAAAAAATTGAACACACAGCAGTGTGAGGAGACCTGAAAGTGGCACAGGGCATGAGACACTGTGGACCTGGCAGCAGCTGAGGAGGCGGTACAGGGGCCCATGGCAGATTTAGGGGCCTGGCAGCAGCTATGGGAGGCCCGTAATCTGCCAGCACCCTCTATGACAAAAAATGGAACACAACAGCATTGTGTGAGGAGACTGAAGTGGCACATGGCAGAGTGTGGCGATGGAGACAGCAGCATATGGGAGGCCGTAACAGGGACCCATGAGAGACTCTGGACTTGGCGAGAGCAGCATGAGGAGGCGGGTATAGGGGCCCATGGCAGATTAGGGGCCCTGGCAGCAGCTATGGGAGGCCATAGTCTGCCAGCACCCCTATGTCAAAAAATGAAACACCAGCAGTGTGAGGAGACCTGAAAGTGGCACATGGCAGAGTGAGACACTGTGGACCTAGCAGCAGCATGAGGAGGCGGTCAGGGGCCCATGGCAGATTAGGGGGCCTGGCAGCAGCAATGGGAGGCCCGTACCTGCAGCACCTATGACAAAAAATGGAACACAACCAGCAGTGTTTGTCTGAGGAGACCTGAAAGTGGCACTGGCAGAGTGTGGCGATGGAGACAATCCCACCGACTGTTTTGCTCGCTGCCGATAAGCTGCCACCCTCTTTCCTGGATGCGGAAGCAATAAGCCTGATGACGACGTGTGGCTGCCAAGTGCGATCAGCTCTTCATCATCATTTAGGGTCTCAGCCTCACTTCTAGCCCCCTCGGTGACGTGTGGGTCAGGAAGGACAGACCTGTCTCTAGACCCGCTACCGAGCCACTCTCTCGCCACATACTTCTTCGCCTGGCTGCGTTGAAGAGGCGGGATGTCTCCCCCCGTCCTGACCGCCCTCTGTAACAATGCTCTTTCATTTCTGTACTGGATGAACCGGGATGGCACTGGCCTCTGGCTGCGAATAGTGCTGCCTCGACCCCTTCCTCTGCTGCCACGTTCTGCTCGACTCTAAGTAAACATTGCCTCCTCTGCCACTCCTCTGCATGTTGTCTGACATACTCTTTATTAACGATTCTGTGTCCCTGAGTAAAACAATTCTGTGTCTGTCCCTGAGTAACGTTTCTGTTGCCCTAAGTAAACGGTTCTGTGGCCCTCAGTAACAATTCTGTGTCCCTCAGTAACAATTCTGTGTCCCTCAGTAACAATTCTGTGCTGTCCCTGAGGTAACAATTCTGTGTTCCCTGAGTACAATTCTGTGTCCCTCAGTAACAATTCTGTGTCCCTCAGTAACATTCTGTGTCCCTCAGTAACAATTCTGTTGTCTGTCCCTGGGTAACAATTCTGTGTCTGTCCTGAACTGAGTAAGAATTCTGTGTCTGTCCCTGAGTAACAATTCTGTGTCCCTGAGTAACGTTTCTGTGGCCCTAGTAACAGTTCTGTGGGCCCTCAGTAACAATTCTGTGGCCCTCAGTAACAATTCTGTGTCCCTCAGTAACAATTCTGTGTCCCTCAGTAAAACAATTCTGTGTCTGTCCCCTGAGTAACAATTCTGTGTCTGTCCCTGAGTAACAATTCTGTGTGCCCTGAGTAACGTTTTCTGTGGCCCTAAGTAACAGTTCTGTGGCCCTCAGTAACAATTTCTGTGTCCCTCAGTAACAATTATGTGTTGTCCTGAGTAACAATTCTGTGTCTGTCCCTGAGTAACAATTCTGTGTCCCTAAGTAACGTTTCTGTGTCCCTCAGTAACAATTCTGTGTCCCTGAGTAACAATTTCTGTGTCTGTCCCTGAAGTAAGAATTCTGTGTCTGTCCCTCACAGTAACAAATTCTGTGTCCCTAAGTAACGTTTCTGTGGCCCTATAAGTAACGTTTCTGTGGCCCTCCCACTAAAGTAACATTCTGTGCCCTAAGTAACGTTTCTGTGTCCCTAAGTAACAATTCTGTGGCCCTAAGTTAACGGTTCTGTGTCCCTCAGTAACAATTCTGTAACCTCAGTAACAATTTGTGTCTGTCCCTGAGTAACAATTCTGTGGCCCTAAGTAAACGTTTCTGTGGCTGGTCCCTAAACAATTCTGTGTCTGCCCTCAGTAACAATTCTGTGTCCCTCAGTAACAATTCTGTGTCTGTCCCTATTAGTACAAATTCTGTGGCCCTAAGTACGTTTCTGTGGCCCTAAGTAACGTTTCTGTGTCCCTAAGTAAATTCTGTGGCCCTAAGTAACGTTTCTGTGTCTGTCCCTAAGTAAAACGTTCTCTGTTGGCCCTAAGTAATGTTCTGTGGCCTAAGTTAAACGTTTCTGTGGCCCTAAGTAACGGTTCTGCGGCCCTCAGTTAACAATTCTGTGGCCCTCTAAGTAACATTCTGTTAGTGTCTGTCCCTAAGTAACAATTTTGTTTCTGGCCCTAAGTAACGTTTCTGTGGCCCTAAGTAATGTTTCTGTGGCCCTAAGTAACGATTCTGTGGCCCTAAGTAACGTTTCTGTGGCCCTAAGTAACGTTTCTGTGGCCCTAAGTAACAATTCTGTGGCCCTAAGTAACGGTTCTGTGTCCCTCAGTAACAATTCTGTGTCCCTCAGTAACAATTCTGTGTTGTGTCCCCTGGAGTACCAATTCTGTGGCCCTAAGTAACGTTTCGGGGGTGGCCTCTAACATAACGGTTCTGTGGCCTCAGTAACAATTCTGTGTCCCTCAGTAACAATTCTGTGTCTGTCCCTAAGTAACAATTCTGTGTCTGTCCCTATAAGTAATCTGTTTCTGTGGCCCTAAGTAACGTTTCTGTGTCCCTAAGTAACGATTCTGTGGCCATAGTAACAATTCTGTGTCTGTCCCTAAGTAACGTTTCTGTGGCCCTCTTAGTAATTCTGTGGCCCTAAGTAATTTTCTGGGGCCATAAAGTAACGGTTCTGTGGCCCTCAGTAACAATTCTGTGGCCCTCAGTAACAATTCTGTGTCTGTCCCTAAGTAACAATTCTGTGGCCCTAAGTAACGTTTCTGTGGCCCTAAGTAACAACGTTTCTGTGGCCCTAAGTAACGATTCTGTGGCCCTAAGTAACGTTTCTGTGGCCCTAAGTAACGTTTCTGTTGCCCTCAGTAACAAATCTGTGTCTGTCCCTAAGTAACAATTCTGTGGCCCTAAGTAACGTTTCTGTGGCCCTAAGTAACGTTCTGTGGCCCTCAGTAACAGTTTCTGTGTCCCTCAAGTAACAATTCTGTGTCCCTAAGTAACAATTCTGTGGTCCCTAAGTAACGTTTCTGTGGCCCTAGTAACGATTCTGTGGCCCTAAGTAACGTTTCTGTGGCCCTAAGTAACGTTTCTGTGGCCCTCAGTAACAAATCTGTGTCCCTCAGTAACAATTCTGTGTCTGTCCCTAAGTAACAATTCTGTTTCTGTGGCCCTAAGTAACGTTTCTGTGGCCCTAAGTAACGATTCTGTGGCCCTAAGTAAAAATTTTGTGGCCCTAAGTAACGTTTTCTGTGGCCCTCAGTAACAATTCTGTGTCCCTCAGTAACAATTCTGTGTCTGTCCCTAAGTAACAATTCTGTGGCCCTAAGTAACGTTTCTGTGGCCCTAAGTAACGGTTCTGTGGCCCTCAGTAACAATTCTGTGTCCCTCAGTAACAATTCTGTGTCTGTCCCTAAGTAAACAATTCTGTGGCCCTAAGTAACAATTCTGTGGCCCTAAGTAACGATTCTGTGGCCCTCAGTAACAAATCTGTGTCCCTCAGTAACAATTCTGTGTCTGTCCCTAAGTAACAATTCTGTGGCCCTAAGTAACGATTCTGTGGCCCTCAGTAACAAATCTGTGTCCCTCAGTAACAATTCTGTGTCGGTCCCTAAGTAACAATTCTGTGGCCCTAAGTAACGTTTCTGTGGCCTAAGTAACGATTCTGTGGCCCTAAAAGTAACAATTCTGTATCCCTCAGTAACAATTCTGTCTGTCCCTGAGTAACAATTCTGTGTCCCTAAGTAACGTTTCTGTGGCCCTAAGTAACGATTCTGTGGCCCTAAGTAACGTTTTGTGGCCCTAAGTAACGTTTCTGTGGCCCTAAGTAACGATTCTGTGGCCCTAAGTAACGTTTCTGTGGCCCTAAGTAACGATTCTGTGGCCCTAACTAACGTTTCTGTGTCCCTAAGTAACGTTTCTCTGTCCCTAACTCTCTCCCTGAATACAGCCAGGTCTGCCTCTGTTGAATGACTGGAGGCAAATGGAGAATTCTAAAATGGCCGCCATTTATAGCTCGACCATTACACTGTGCTGGCTGGCTGGCTGCTGATTGGCTAATGCGATCACATGTCATGAATGAATGCATTATGGGTCAGCGCGCCTTGTCTGCGCGCCTTCCCAGACATCCCCGCTCCGTCGCCGCACATGTCACTGCTTATTTTCGGATTCGACGCGAATCGAAATTTTCCTAATATTCAAAAACGAATTCCACTTCGCCTACTTCGATTCGCTCATCTCTAATTATAATATTAAAAATAAATAACATTTAAAAATCTAATATGTTACGCTATACATAATGTAGAGATTACATAGTACGAACAAAGGGATGCATCTTTTGTGAACTGTGCAATAAAAGCTATAATTCAATTTAGTTGAAATGGGCCTCACTGGACAAAGGCACATGTCCATAGAATAAGGAGTAAAAGAGCTAAATAGCATATACTAAAAAAAAAATTATTACGCAAATCCCTAGAGGTAAAAAATGCATAAGCAACCACGATGTGCACACTCTATAGCTCAGGGGTTGCTATATATGTGTGAATACAAAAAAAACATATATGTGTTCACATTCCTATGTTACCCAAGGATCAGGGGCGGGCTGACCATTTGGAAACTCGGGCACTGCCTGAGGGCCCGGGGTCAGTAGGGGGCCCCATGAGATGCCCCTGGTACCTTTTTCATAGGCTTTTTTGAGTTTGGGCAAGGACACAGGGGCCCCATGATCACTTATTGCCCAGGGGGCCCCATGAGTTGTCAGTCCGCCCCTGCCAAGGATCCCACACATTATGTACTAGAATGACTAAAAGGATACTGCTATATGTAAGAAGAAAACAAAGGATCTGTAGGGATGTAAATACACCCAATAGAAATTAAATATGTGTGTACGATAATGTAATGAAGGTAGTATGCAATGGAATACATGGGATGATATACAAAACACTAATGTGAAGGAAGCGAACAAACGCAAAAGGACGGATCAAAATCAAGAAATGGGTAGGAGTGGAATCCCCACTCTAGTCCCCACCCCATGGGGACCAATTATTCACAGCCCGGGGTTCTCCATAGACTTGTTCTGCATTGGGTACCAAGTCTTGTTTTCAGGTACTTGGTCAAACGTGTGAGAAGTATAAGCTTGTATATGGGGATCTGAATATGATTTACAGAAAATTGTCCTAATTAAATAGACATGAATACAAGGAAGAAGAGGTTTCCAATCATGCGTGAAAGGGCCTACAGCACAAGTAGCCAGTTACCAAAATTACATATTTCTAGTGTGGAGAATAAGCCATTCATTATTGACTACCATGGGGTTCTTTATAGTCTTGATCTGCATTGGGTACCATTGCTTGTTTTCATTAACATGGTCACACTTCTGGGAAATGTAAGCTTGTATATGGGGATCTGGATATGATTTAAATATGGAGAAAATTGTCGTAAATAAATAGACCTGAAAACAAAGAAGAAGAGGTTCACAATCAAGAATAAAAGGGCCTACAGAGTAGCCAGTTACCAAAATTACATATTTCTAGAGTGTGGAGGATAGTTATTCACTGCCCTGGGGTTCTTTACAGTCTTGATCTGCATTGTGTACCATGTCTTGTTTTTATGAACTTGGTCACACTTCTGGATATGATCTGTATAGGGGAAAATTGTCCTCATGAATTAGACCTGCAAACAAGGAAGAAGTTGTTTACAGTCAAGAGTAAAAGTGCCTGCCACATAGGTGGTCAGTTACCAAAATCACATATTTTTAAAGTGTAGAGGATAAGTCCATCATTATTCACTGCAATGAGGTCCTCCACCATTTTTATCTGCACTAGGTATCATATCTTGTTTTCATGAACTTCATCAAACTTCTAAGAAATGTAAGCTTGCATATTGAAATCTGCCTTCAAAACGTTAAGGGTGGTTACCAGTGTTATATACAATCAAGTATATTTCTGGCTGATGTGGTGTTTGAGAGAAGTGTTAGATAATAACACTTAGTTTGAGGTGACATCACACCTAAGAAGAAGAAACTGTTTAATTAAACCATGTGAAGAACAAAGTTGTTTTTCTAATGGGTGAAAATAAAGTTCTAATTTTCATCAGGATGGTGGAAATCGAGTGAGAGTCTGTGGGAAGGAAAGAACAAAGAATACATTTTGTCAGGTCAGTATCAGACAGATGTAATGAATATTTCTGTTTCATACCTCCGGTTGGAATATTAAGGCAGAAATCACTGAAGAAACAAAAAGTCTGTCATCGACTTTCTCACTACATACTGTCACTGCTGTCACCTAAAACAAATACGCCTACACCAAATAGAATTATTATAGCATCAGACTTGTACCATAGAGTAAAAGCACACCTTTATATACATATTAAATATTTATAATGCTTATTTGTGCCTGTATCCAATATGGGAAACCTACAGTGGTGCATTAATATTTGTATACTAATACCAGTGTCGGCTCTGTAACATACTAAAGGCAAGCTGTAAATTTTGCAATGCATTGTTTTTGCAATGAGTACACAACAGTCCTTCCCAATAAGGGGGGGCAGTTTGCAGCTGTAATGCATACTCACAACAAACAGTAAATTAACTTTAAGACAAGCCATCAATGACCTCTATAGTTGCTGACACTGTGGTGCAATTCATCTTCAAGGTTCACAGCAGAAGCACTGTAATTGTGTGGCCTTATGCACAAGGGCACTTGGTGTCATACAATGTAAAATTCAAATGTACAGTTGTGTTCAAAATAATAGCAGTCAGATATCACTAACCTGATCAATCACTGTTTTTGGTAGAAATTATATTTCTACATGACAAATAATTTACTAGCAGGTGTAGTAGAGTAATGGGAATCCAACAGACCCAACAGTCATGACATGCATGCTGCTGATTCTGTGTGATTGAATCACTAATTGAAAGGGGCATGTTCAAAATAATAGCAGTGTGGAGTTCTATTAGTGAGGTCATTCATTCTTTGAAAAACAGGTGGCAATTATTGCCCTTATTTAAGGAAGGAAGGCAGCAAATGTTGTACATACTGGTTACAGTGCATTTCTCTCTGAAATTCTGAGGAAAATGGGGTTGTTCCAGACATTGTTCAGAAGAACAGCGTACCTTGATTAAAAAGTTGATTGGAGAGGGGAAAACATATAAAGAAGTGCAGAAAATGATAGGCTGCTCAGCTAAAATGATCGCAAATGCTTTAAAATGGCAACCAAAACCTGAAAGACGTGGAAGAAAGCGAAAAACTACTATTCGAATGGATAGAAGAATAGCCAAAATGGCAAGGACTTGGCCAACAATCAGCTCCAGGAAGATCAAAGAAGGTGTAAAGTTACCTGTGAGTACTGTTACAATTAGAAGACGCCTATGTGAAGCCAAGCTATCTGCAAGAAGCCCCCGCATAAGTCCCACTGTTGAAAAAAAAGACGTGCTGAAGAGGTTACAATTTGCTAAAGAGCACATTGACTGGCCTAAAGAGAAATGGCGCAACATTTTGTGGACTGATGAAAGTAAGATTGTTCTTTTTGGGTCTAGTGGCCGGTGACAGTTTGTCAGACGACCCCCAAACACTGAAATCAAGCCACAGTACACTGTGAAGACAGTGAAGCATGGTTGCGCAAGCATCATGATATGGGGATGTTTCTCATACTGCGGTGTTGGGCCTATTTATCCCATACCAGGGATCATGGATCAGTTTGAATACATCAGAATACTTGAAGAGGTCATGCTGCCTTATACTGAAGAGGAAATGCCCTTGAAATGGGTGTTCCAACAAGACAGCGACCCCAAACACACCAGTAAATGTGCAACATCTTGGTTCCAGACCAACAAGATTGACGTTATGGAGTGGCCAGCCCAATCCCCGGATCTTAACCCAATAGAAAACTTGTGGGGTGACATCAAAAATGCAGTTTCTGAGGCAAAACCAAAGAATGTAGTCCAATCATCCTGGGCTGGAATACCTGTTCACAGGTGCCAGAAGTTGGTTGACTCCATGCAACACAGATGTACAGCAGTTCTCAGAAACAGTGCTTATACAACTAAATATTAATTAAGTGATTCAAAGGAAAGCAAAATCTTCAAACATTTTTCAGTTTATATAGTGAATGTTTGAGTTAGTAAAGAAGAATACAAACACTGCTATTTTTTTGAACAGTCTAATATTCACTTTTCTTCCATTTTTTAGAGGAACAACACAAATTTGATATATTTTTCTTCATGTTTTGATTTGGAATAGAATGTGTAGTGTTCCCAATGCATTTGTGTGTATGGTAATAAAAGCTATTAGAAGGATTTTGAGCTTTATTCACTTTTTTCAACACACTGCTATTATTTTGAACACAACTGTATTTCCCAACCTGGGAGACATAGGTGCTGTGTCCAGTCGCCTATAGAAATCAATGGCTGTATGCCACGGCACTTGTGTAAGCATGCATATGCACACGTATGTACCTTCCTGAAAATGTAAACTGCAAATATTTGGATGTACATAACCTGGCAACAAATAGAGTTTAAAGGATAAGTTCACTTTTACAACGTTACATGTTCCATCTGTTTTTAGGCTGGAACATGGAACATGGTCCAGCATCTGCACCTTCTCCCTCCAATTTCCCTCATTGTGACAGTGGGAGGGGAACTTCTCCATGAACCCACTGTCAGAATTTGAAAACAGTGCTGTGAACAAATAGACAAGTACGCCATTGTGGCTGACAGCTTGTAGTTCTCAATGAACTATGAGGGCTCTGGTAGTTAATTGATCTTCCTGTTCTCAAGTAACTGCCTGCCTGTACGGAAGGTACAGGTGAACAGGTATCCCGAGAGTCTGCAGGAGCCTGACATAGCAATGTACTGCAGGCTAAATTAAAAAAAAAAAAAAAATAAATACACATTTTTTTCCCCACCAAATAAATGTGCATTTATTTGTTTTTTCAAAAGCTGAATTTATCCATTAACCACTTGCCAGCTGTGCTATAGCCCAATGACGGCTGCAGCGTGGTTGTCCAGTTCTGGGAGGGTGTCATATAACGTCCTCCCAGAACGCGCCCCCTGCGCCCCCCAGCGGCACGTACCCGGCAATCTCCGTGATCGCTGTGTCCTACGGACACAGCTGATCACGTGATGTGGTAAAAGGCCAATCACAACGGCTTTTTACCACGTGATCAGCTGTGTCCAATGACATAGCAAATCGCCGGGTAAATGCAGTTGCCGGTTATCGACTGCACTTTCCTCACGCTGTCACAGCATAAGGAAAGTAATGCCGATAACCAGCAATTGTCAGAAAAAAGATCGGCACTGATGATCAGTGCCCTGATGATCAGTGCCCACCAGTGCCACCCACCAGTTCCCAGCAGTGCCTAGCAGTGCCACCTACCTGTACCCAGCAGTGCCACCCATCAGTGCTGCCCAGTAGAGACACCCTTCAGTGCCCAGTAGTGTCGCCAGTCAGTGCCATCAGTCAGTCCCACCCATTAGTGCTGCCTATCAGTGCCCATCATTGCTGCATATCAGTGCCAGCTCATCAGTGCCGCCTATCAGTGTTGCCTATCCATGCCACCTCATCAGTGCTGCCTATCAGTGCCCATCAGTGTTGCCTATCAGTGCAGCCTCATCAATGCACATCAGAGAAGGAGAAAAATTCTCTGTTTACAAAATTTTATAATACAAACAAAGAAAAACTTTTTTTTATTCAGATTTTTAGCTCTTTTTTTGTTTATAGCACAAAAAATAAAAACACCCAGTGGCAATTAAATACCACCAAAAGAAAGCTCTATTTGTGTGAAAAATGATAAAAAGGTCATATGGGCAATTGTCATTCAAAGTGCGACAGCGCTGAAAGCTGAAAATTGGCCTGGGCAGGAAGGGGGTATAAGTGCCCGGTAGGCAAGTGGTTAAACAATAGCCTGCTCTGGTACAGTATCCCTTTTGGCAAATACCACTAATGCCAGGTTGCCAGTCTAGATTTTAATATGATAATGCATCTCTTATAGTTGCTGAAAAACAACAAGTGATCTGATATGACAACCCATGACCATTCCATAACCTTCATTTGTCAGTAAGAAAAAAAATGGGTTTCTTGGACTCAAAATACAACTGATTTCCCTTTTTTGGGTGCCAAAGTATAGTAGCTCTGCTGTGCTATTTAGCTACATATATGAACACAGCTAAAAAAAAGAGGCATTTTTTTGTTCAAAAGATGGGATTTCTCAGCAAAAACACAAACTCATGGGTGTTTCAGTTAATAAATAAGGAGGAGCCCTGAGGTTTCTGGTTAAAAACCCAAGGGTCTGTATACAGATGCAACATTTTATAGTGCGGAGAGCTGACAATCCCCATCTCCGATGGACAAAAGACCCTCTGAATCAGATGTTTGAGGCACAGAGAGGTTCTCAAGTTACCATGGAGATGGAGCTTTGAGATGCTGAGGGATAATGGACTTTTCTTTCTGTCATGTGCAAAATGACTCCATAGAATGATGCAGATGATTACTAAGCGCAAGTTGCTGGGGGAGACATTACAGAAACACTCGCCTGGCTTGGAGAAAAATTTGCTGTAGCATTTTTCTTTGTTTCATATGATGATGTAGGCCAAACTTGTATTGAAGGATAGCACTGTTTGAGGAATGCAGATTGCAAAATTAGGAGATCAGGGCCTGTATAACTATTACTGGCTGGTTAGACATAAAGTACTTGAAGATGGAATATTGAATGCTGATGATGGTGCTCAGTGATACAAGTATATGAATAAGTAAAGTCTGTGTCTCTTAAAGAAAATAGATGTCTTATGTCAGAAAAGTGATCCTAATGAGCTGAGGTTGGCATGGGAAATATATGCAGACCACACACACACAGGGGGGTGAATTCCTGAAGCAGTGTCTCACAAAATGATGACTGATACTGGGAGCAGACCATTCACAGGCTTTTCATCATGGTAAAGTCACAGTTAGCTTGTTTACATCAAAGCCCATAAGTAGAAACTAAGCCAGACTTTCAGGCTACCAGCCACAGACAGAATTCCAGACCATGTTCAAACTGGAAGTTAAAGAATATGTTACCCCAACATTTCATATTCCTGATACATGTCTGTTGCATAATGGACCTATGTTAAAATGTATCCTTTTCTTTTTGTATTTCTTTCTTTGTGTGAAATACCGTGTGTTCCTGCCAGCCTTTCTACTTTCCTATTATCAAACTGACCACGATAGGCATGAGAGCACATCATTCTCAGTGTGGTCAGTTTTTTTTGTGAGCCCAGCCTGCTTTTCCTCCAGTGGTGAAGATGTGTGTTCACATGCCTCCTGCACAGTTATTCACTGGGAAGATCCGTGTACTGTTTTTTTCTCCAACCCCATTTCCCCAAGACCCTTATGCAGCTGAGAATGCAGATTATGTGATTATTTATGAAAAATTGTCTGTTGTTGAGAGGGAGTATTTGTTATGGGGGTCTATTGTTGCTAGGGGCAATTTATTGTGGGGGGGGGGGGGGATCTATTGTTGAAATGGGGTGTTTTGTTGCTGGCTGCAAGGGATATATATTGCAGCTTCTCATTAACAAATTCCATACAAAATACTTACCACCACAAAATGATACTTGGTTCTGTGTTCTCTAAAAGGGGTGGTACTTGGAGGTGGGGGGCCAAGGGACAGTGCTCAGAGGTGGGTAGGGGGTGGAAACAAGGGGTAACTTGAAAGGTTGAGTTCCTGCACCTATTCCCTGAGAAAGAAAGCCCTGTGTATGAGCAAATTAAATGTAGGCTTCCTTTTCCTGTGGGGAACACAAGATGTTATTCACATGCAGGTGGGTCAATGCTGCAGTACAATTAAATGGACTTGAGGAAATAGTTCTTGGCAGATTATGTGGGCAGGGACAGGGGTTGAGGTACCCAGCTGGAAGAGAACGTATACACACTGCCGAGAATGTGATATACTATCTTGTATTTAGTGAAATGGTTAGCACAGTTAGTTGTGAATAACATTGGCAGACAATAGATTTCCCTTCCGGGTAGGGGAACAGGCACATGCTCTGCCAGTGCGTTCCCATTGGCTCCCGGGGAGGCACATCGTGGGCCCGCTCTTCCTGGTCTTGGGGGGTGGTCCCAACTCCTGATGGAGCACACTAGCTGGCATGACAGCAGCTGAGTCTATGGACCGCACATGTGGGCGTATGTTCCAGCAGGTGGACAGTTGTCCCATTGTGGACAGACACGTAGTGTGGATTGGACAGTGCTGTTCTTTCATGATGTGCCTTTGATATTATTGTCGTTTGTGAGTACAATACCTATTTTTATTGCTTTAATAAATGTTTTTTAAGGTATTGCATTAGGCCGGTGCACCCTCTGTTTGTTTTCTTTATATCCAGTACATTTGGACTTCCCTGGTCCTCTGAGGGCAGCAAGAAGTGCACATTCCAGGACATCCGAGATGTCATCATAGCCCATTTTGAGTCCATCCCCAAAACCAGGAGTATTTGGTATTGCTGATTTAGATTCCCATTAACACCTGGCAGAAGTTCAGGCAATGCAATAGAACAGTCCTTGTTGCAGTGGCCAGCCACTCAGGAAGACACAGCAGATTACTCTGTAATAAAACAGTAATGCAGTGGTATCTCATCATCAACAATAGCAGTAAGGCATGGTTTTAAGCAAGGCCTGTTTTACCAAGGATGGCAAGAATGGTGGCTGCCTGGAGGACCAAATAAATAGTGGTTCTTCTGTGCTATACAGGGGTCTGCTAATGCTGCTGTGGAACCAGAATGTGTGCTGAGAATCAGTGATGTTCCTGCATTATCCCTCCTCAAACAGGAACCACTCCCTGGGCTAAGGCTTTCCCTAACAAGCAGGGGCTCTGTCCCTGACCTAACTATACATTCAAAGCATGCCAAAATGAGTTAGGTACCCTTATTTAAAAGGGCTGCCTCGTGCAAGATAGATGCCTAGGTCACCATGAATCGCAGCATCCAATCAGATAGCTGCTCTCTGTTAGACACCTATAGAGCCTGCAGTGAAGCAAGTTCTTGTAAGCCTCTGCTCCATCTATACAGTAGAACACTTGCTGGATGGAAGACAAACTGCACCTGCCTACATTTATGTCAGATGATCTGTGCTGTATGTGTTTTACAGCCTGCTTTGACCATCGAGGATGATACAGCCCAGACATGCATGTTGTAACACATGACAGTGATGGCTTGTTACATTTCACTCCTCAGAAGGCATTTGTTGGGCAGAGTGCACTGCCTGTTTTAACCCCCAATAACCTGCACCACCATACCGCAACCACATGCATTACACATGGTTGCAGTGCTGCTCCGTTCCGAAAAAAAATCAGTTGTTCATATTGTTCACCAGTAAGAACACCCTAGTCCAGAGAAGCGGAAAAGAGGAAGAGGACCCCATGGTGTATTGTGACCAGGTCGTAGACTTAAGAAAGATAAATATTAAAATAAATAGCATAAACTAGAGAATTTGGGACTTTCTGGGGAACGGGGTGAGCATGGAGCCCGGAGTTAGGCTTTAAGTTACAAAACCTACTGACTACTAGTGAGGAGGGTCTGGCAAACTTTACAGAATGTGGGATGTTCATAGTTACTTGCAGTAACCCTACTAGAAGCATGGAAGACGCCTTCTTGTCAACAATTAGTAGAGCTTTCCAATGTAAAAAAAAAATGACAATATCATGACCTATATAATGACATTATCACATTACAGAATATGGAGCATTTGTAGGTACTTCCAGTGACCCTTTTAGAAGCAGAGAAGAAGCCTCCTTGCCCAAAGAAACAAATTGCAGAGTTTTCCAATGCAAAGGAAATTACAGTATCATGACCTATATCAGGGGTCTCCAAACTTTCTAAACAAAGGGCCAGTTCACTGTCCTTCAGACATTAGGAGGTCTGGAGTGATCAGTGGCAGTAGAAAATGTCCCAGCTTCAGTAGGAGTAAAAAAAAATGGCATGTAGTCATTGTAGTGCTTGTAGTCAGTGGAAGGAGGAATAGTGTCCAGATATTGGTATAAGTTGCAGGAACAGTGCCCCATCATTAGTATTAGTGGGGGGAATATTGCCCCATCATTGGTATTAGTGGGAGGAATAGTGCCCCATCATTGGTGTCAGTGGGAGAAACAGTGTCCCATCATTGGTGCCAGTGGGAGGAATAGTGTCCCATCATTGGTGTCAGTGGGAGGAATAGTGCCCTATCATTGGTGTCAGTGGGAGGAATAGTGCCCCATCATTGGTGTCAGTGGGAGGAATAGTGCCCTATCATTGGTGTCAGTGGGAGGAATAGTGCCCCATAATTGGTGTCAGTGGGATGAATTGTGCCCCATCATTGGTATCAGTGGAAGGAATAGTGCCCCATCCTTGATATTAGTTGGAGGAATAGTACCTAATTGTTAATATCAGTGGAGGAATTATGCCCCATCATTGGTGTCAGTGGGAGGAAAAATGCCCCATAGTTGGTGCCTGTGGAAGAAATGGTGTCTCTTTGTTGGTATCAGTGGGAGAAATAGTACCCCGATGGCC